TCTCACGATGCCCAATGGATCAACGAACTCCACGAAGCAAAAGGAAGACCTACTAGATATTAATTAAATTATAAATATATCAATTCATGTGAATATGACTGAAAAATTTCATTTTTTTTCTGGAAAGGTGGTGTCTATTTACTTGTGACCATGTTGTGTACACATATATGCATAACTTGATCTAAACAACAAACAGAAAATCAAACAAGTTGAAAACTCATATTAACCAGATATCATAACAGATTAAATATATACAGGTATCTGAAAAGTAGTATGTGAATTACAGTGCTGGACTATTGCACCTAACAAAATATTATAATTACCAGATGTTATTCAGGATACTTATTCATTGGCTGGCCACTTTATTAGGAACTATATCTAAAAATGGGTTGGACCACTTTTTGCCAAAATAACAACCATGATACAACATGGCATAGAAAAAGGTGTTCCAAGTGCTTTTTTTTCTCTATTCAGTTACTGATATTGTACACAATTCATGGAGCTAGGTACACAGAGGATGGTGATAGCAAATGTGCCTTTAAGTTCCCCTATTACAGAAGCTTAATTGAATTGAAATTCAGGGATTGTAGTGGCCATGGAAGATGTTTGATGTCTCCATAACATTCCTCCAACCATGCATGCACAATCTAGGCATGATGGAAGAAAGCATTGTTGCCTTGAAAGTAGCTGTCCCCATAAGAGAAGGGTAAAGTATGGCTGGATGCACTTGATCAGAAATGATGCTGAGGTAAGCTGTGACTTTTAGTCTGCATTCTAAAAGAGACCAAGGAGCCTAGGGTATTACAGTAAAACACACCTCAGACAATAACTCCACCACCAGAGGCCTCGACAGTTGAGACTACACAAAAAGGGTTGAGTTATTCTTCTGGTTTTTTCCAAATCTGACTACTCCCACCTTTGCAAAAATAAAAAGGTTAAAGCAAATTTATTGGACCACATCACATTTCATCAGTCCTTATTAGTTCAATGCCTGCACTCTTTGCATCACTTAAAGCATTTTTTTGGGGGGTTAAGTCCAGTTGTTTAAGTAATGGTTTTCTACTGCCACAGATAATATGTTGCAATGTTCTTCTCAAGATATGGCTGGAAAAGGGTATGATTCATCACATGCTGAATGTCTGTCAGTTGGTCTATTGTTTGATGAAAGTTTAACTTTACCATCCTGTCTAACCACATTTCTAACCTTTCTGTTACTTTGTGATTGTGGCCACAATTCCCCATACTGCATATATTTTATTCCCCATTTTCCATTGTTAAACTTTCTTGGTCACTGTGGACTTGCTAGATATGCACTCACAATTATACCACTTTTGAACCCTGCAATATTTTTGCTTTTGTTTATAGTTGTTTGACTGGGTGCTTGTCCCAGTCATTTATAGCACTATAGGGTTAACCTGGCACATCATATGCTCAATTTAATTAGTATCTGCAGCTCAGATCAGGCCCAAATCTGAAATGGCACATAGGTCACAATAAAGTGACCAGCCAGTGTATATTCCAAAAAAATATCTTTACTGCAAAAATAAAAAAATACATTTAATTTCATTATTGTTTTACACATAATAAGATCAGTATGTTATGCATTAGTTATACTTATTTCATAGAAAACTCAGTAACATAAACTAGTGAACTACTTTTACTTTTTCATAAATAAATAATATTTCTTAACTTATAATGAACATTTTCAATATCTATAGCTCTTCAACAACTTTTACAAATTCTAAAATAAATGCTTTAATACTTAAACATTCTGTAGTTTTTTTCTGGCAGCAGTCATACAATGATATGTTTACTTCTTCCAGATGCTCCTCCACTATAGTGGAGGAGTTTGGCACACTCCATTTGTTTGCAGTTAATACTGAGTTTGAAAGAGCATAGTTAGTTTTGCTGACGATAGGTGGCATGATAGTTGTATTGCAAATGGCTGCACCCATGTTATTTGAATTATCAATATACTTTTGTGGAAATATCAAGATCCAAGAGTAGCCCTTGGTGAGAGAATAGACATGTCAACAAAATGACATTATATGAACACTGATGCCGTACTTGATGCACTTTTTGATGATGATAATGATAAATATAGCTGTGCAGAGGAATCAGCTACTTTTTTGGATGAATCACAAATTGATAATCTCAATGTCAACAATGATGTAGGTACTTTGTATGCTGATGATGATCCCCAAGAGATTGACAATGATCACAATTCTGATAGTGACAGCTACATTGATGAAAATTCTGATGGTGGAGCTGTGCATGTTTCCAGTCATTCAAATTCAAGTAGCCCTAGTTATAACGCAATATCCTCTTCAGATAGCAGTGATAATGATGATGTTAGTGGAATGGTTAAGGCTAAGCAGCCAAATGCTAATGCTAGAGAAAGGATGTGTGACAGAGCTCAACAGTCTTCTGGGCTGCATAATCATGTGTAACCTATTCAGCCTAACAGAGATCCAATAGAACCACAACAGCAAAACAAGTATGATTTCATGCAACACATGCTGCATGGTTTTGATGATACAAATTATGGTCCAACTTGTAACTTCAGTTATAATCAAGTGATAGAAATGAATGCTATTACCTCTTTCAAACTCTTTTCTCAAGTGACATTTTAGTTCACTGTAACCAAATCTAACAACTATGCTGAACATGTAAGCATGACAATTCTTCTAAAACACAAGATGAAATGGGAAAAGGAGACAACTGATGAGATGAAAGCATGTTTTGGACTATCAGTTACTATGAAATTACTAGAAATGTACTGGGTTTCAGATGGATCATGTTCATTGAGTAAGTTGCCCAATGTTATGTCGTGAGATCATTTCAAACAGATAAAACTATACTTTCACATCAGTGATATCAATTTGCAGCCTAACAGGTAATCTCCAAATTTTGACTCATTATACAAAGTGAAAAAAATATTAGATTTTATTGTTCCAGAACTTGATGAGGTCTACAAATTTGGGAGAGATGTGAGAATCAATGAAGCTATGATACTGTTGCGTCAGCAGTCACATGACTACAGTGACGCAACGTTTCTAGAACTATCATGTACTTTGTCGAATGTTCAAATTCTTACT